GCTCTCTTAAGCTTTGCCGAGGAATTTTTTATTGCCGGTTTCCACTGTGCGCTAAATTCGGCGGACCTTCGAGTTCCGCACACGTCGATAACATCAGATTTGACTTTCTTCGCTTGAATCATATAAATGTTGACAAGCGTGTCTAATGCCAGAGTTCCTGTGCTATGGCTAACCTCGAATATCTTGATGATATCCCTTAGCCATTTGCAGACCTGTTTGGGTTCATTGACCAGCCCAGGGCCTCATCCATTCACCTCACCGGAGAGGATCATCTTAAGGATCATTACGAAGTAGAAATGCATGAAATTTAAGCGGGCGGTAATGACAGACGTAAACAGTTCCTGTACTTCTCTTCTGTTTTTAGTCAAACGTTATCCGGCTATTTATCCAGAAAAAAGGATCAGACGACAAAAAACTCAAGATTTCCAAAACCATTCTATTCTGTTCTCAATAGATATTGTGACCTCAATAGATGCAGAGATGAGGCGAACAAGATTGGTCTTTTTAGGCAAACTGGTTGAGCGTAAACATTGTCTCGACTATGAGCTTGCCCTACGGTAGTCGAAACACGGCAAACGTCGACCGGGAGGCAAGGATGCAATATTGAGGAACAGGATATAGACACGTCTGCCATCCTACAAGAACATTTTTTGTTTCGCGATGCAGTAACCGGTTCCTTATGGCAAAAATATTGAAAATTGCAACGAACATCGTAACCCAGAGAAGTTCTGTTCACTCAAACGACTCCGAGTGATGATCTCAACAACCAAACAAAGAAACAAAAATTCCCACGCTCAGAAGAAATACGACTGAGTGAATTCTCCGTACCCATAAAGCCTCATAACAAACCTCAAAAAGAAGCCATATATCATTTTATGTATCATTATATATGTGAATAATGTTAAAGATAAAACAAAGGAAATATTTGTTTCAATTTATCCTGCTCAAATCATCGTTACTCACACAGTTTAAGCTTAAGCAAATCTTCAACGGATAACTCAGTTTCGAGGATTTTTGTACTTCCGGATCGCGAAGGGAGACGCCTCAAACAGTGACAGTGTCTACAACGTTCCAGATGCTGTATCAATGTTTGAATCTCAACATAAAATGGCAAAAGTCTGCAGCAGAGCCTGTTGCGGACTCGCTCCGGGTCATGATTTGTCTTTCCCTGATTTTCAGACGCATTCGAAAGAAGTGCCCAAACCATCGCAGCCGTGTCATCCCAATCTGAGAAGTAGCATGAGCCCAGGAACTCGTCTCAGAAAACCCATTTTGGCCACTTGTACTCGGCATCAACGTTTTTCAGTGATGGTCCACGACTCATGACCGCAGATAAGCATGAGGATAAAGATCGACTTGAATACCAAGAGCTTAGTTTTCATACTGGGACCCGAAAGGAGAAGCGGCGATGGAAGATCATGATGATGACTGATGTATGTTACCATGTTCAAAAAAGGAGTTCATAGCAAACAGTCCGGTGTTTGAGCAAAACGGCAAGAACTTCATACCGTCATTGTTGAGGTCATTGGAGTCTTCTGTGAAAATCAGGTATATTCGCGCTTTGCTCTGGCCTGGGCATTTTAATGCACTATTAGAGTGACGGATTTCGTAGCCTCACTCCGCACAGAGCACGTTCTACTTGATGCAGGAAATGTTTATACTTTCCGTCTGAATTTGGCGCATTGAATTGAAAAATAAAAACAAAGCCTAAGCCCGTTTCAAATTCAGTAGGAATATTTCTACTGTTGTGTAGACAGGCTTCTATCCAATGGTTCTGCTAGGCTGATTGTACTCTACCCGATCAGCAACACCGGTCTAAGCACTTGCCGTGAAATCGACACCTGATTAGAATAACTTCCATTCAAATAGGTTCAGAATTCTAGCTCCCTGGCACTTCGCTGGAGAGAGTCAAACTCTGTTTAGTTGGCACCTTGTAGCCTCATCAGGAGTCCTGTTTATTTCCTCTGAGTGACGAGATGTTTATATTTAATTTTCAGCTGTTACCTCCAAATGTTGGGATCGTTTCTGTTAAACCTTATAGGAGTTGCTTTAATGGCATGGTCAGCCTTCTTCGTTCAGGACGGGTAGCGACTTCATTGGAGACTGGTAATTTCATTTTCTCCTTGTCGAGTTTTTGGCCTTGCAACCACTGAATGCGCAGTTAGACAAGTCTTAAGGAGCAAAATTACTCCAATTACCGGTGTATTCCATTAAGTCGCGTTTAAAGGAATGCTTCGACCTGCAGATGAAAGTCACTGGTTGCGTAATCATTCTAATCGTTCGCTACATGGCGTCGATCAATCGATGCCTTAACCTCTTGAGGTGGTATATGGCTTGCTTCGCTAATCTACAAAATCGCCTCGACTATCCCAATTTTGGAAATACTGTTTTGTTAAGATCAGTCTCATAGGCAGAGATGTCTTTTGAAGCAGCCGACAGGAAGCGAAGGATGCTACCAGTCATTCATTGAAATAACTTTTTCGGCTGACTGCGGGCGAGGGAGAGGCAAGTTGAGGGTGGTCTTTTCAGCCACGGCACTCGTTTGGAAAAATAAACTTCACGTGCCTGTCGCATGGTAAGATGAATATCCTCAACGAGAGTACCTTTATTTGGACCCAGAAGAGGATTCCTCTGTTCTAGTGCATCACGTCTTACTGACTGCGAGCTACCATGCTCGAAAGTTTGAAAACACATTAGAACGATATTAACAGAAAATCTGCATTTGTATTACCAATTAATCTGTCCATTTGTACTACCAAATTTGCGTCCGCCAATTATGACGTCTATCATGGCATTTTTGGTTCATTCATTTCCGCAGTATGCACGATCATTTCCTCATTATATACGCTTTGTTTCAATCACTTCACTTCTCAGAAATCAGATTTCATGATGAACTGCATCGCTTTTTCAATCAGTCAGTCAATCAATCAATTTCCATGACTGCTTGTCCTTATGCATCGCTTGTTTGCTAGGAGCAAATTAAGCAGTTCAAGGCGTC